AAGAGTGTTGTACAAGTGTTTCAGAAATCTAAATCTAAAATATGTAGAATGAAAATGAAAGAAATTGAAGTTTTACTTTTATATAATTCTTGTCTTCTTGAACATGTACATAACAGATGAGACAACACTGAGTACAAATTAAGTAATCTCCATATATACAGAGGAATGTAGAACAGAGACAATGAAAGTTAATGGTACCATTAGCCTGATACAGGCACGAAAGGGTTGTAAAGTTCAACAGACTATAGTTTTTAAGCAAAATACGAACTTACAGGGCCCGTAATCCCTTTTATCAATTGTGGAGTGAGAGTGTGGAGAATAGATTGTGCAAGAGACTGCGTAGAAACTTCAGCAACAACTGTCTTCAGAGCTATGCTAGCAATGTCACGGTGCTGATCCTTTCCATTTAGCAATTTGTCACATAGTTTACTGGTCATTTCCACAACCCTTGGCTCACTCACCTTCCTCACTAATGGAGCAAGACTGCAATTTTCAATCAAATTGAAACTAATAAATTAACTAAAACAATGGTGACGCTTTGTCATTTGTTATTTCATCTTCTCGTGGCAACCGAGTAATAGCTCCAATACGGAACTTTCAAAACCCTAAACAAGGCATTTTAAAATTATGCAATAATCAAATTTAACGCAATGAATGCCCTAGCTAACCATAGAAAAAACAAAGGAAAACTAGTTGAAATAGAAATGCAGACATACAAATGAGTGGAAGTAAATGAGTGAGCAGAGAGAAGAGGTGTACCATTTGACAGCGAGTCCAGACACATCACCAGCTGCATCATCAAGCTGCTGTATGATGATGTTAGTCAATTTCACCTCCAGATCAGAGTCAGCCTTAAACGTGGCTTTGCTCAACTCATTCAGCAAATCGGATGTAGCCATGTATCTGTAATCTTTGTCCTTCCCAGTCATCTGCGAGAAGAAATGGAAGAGCATTCATCATGAAGAGCCACAATGCATAAGCACACGAACATGTACACAGATACAACATACCTTTTCTAGTATGCCAGTCAATGCTAAATTGGCCATTGTGACTGGCGTCAAATCTCGCCCTGCAATCTGAGAAGTAGCGAAGAAACAAAGTAGAAAAGAAAAGAAAAACAATGAGATATGCGATGCGAAAACCTAAATTGACAGTGATGAGTAGCACTGGAAAACCTGACTGTTTTGAATTGTGAAATTGCGGAGAGTGGAAATGCTGATGGGAATGGAACCCTAGCAAGAGAATGGATCAGAAATTGAAATCTTTGCACCTCTTCTTTACTCTTCTCCGATTGCGCTTCTCTTGTCACAGCCTATAAACTTTTATTTCAAACCCTATTCACTTTCACTTCTCTTCTACTTATTGCTATTACATTTTCCTTTTTCTTATTTAAATATTTTTATCACTATTACAGATATTGTCACACTTCGTATTTTTATTTTATTTTTTAAATAAAAAATAATAACTTTAAGGACAATTGTATAATATATAGTTCTTTAATAATTTGTTTATTTAGGATTAAAAATATATTACTTTATTATTAAAAAATAATGATAGCTACAAAAAAAAAAGTTATATTAATTTTTTAACAAAAAATATATAATAGTATACTAAATAAAAATATTCATTTATATATCAATTATTACATTTTATTTTATTATCATACATATTACGGCATGACCGTTATTACAAGGTTGAATATTAAATAATAAGAATATAACTTAACATATATAATTTCAAAATTACATAATAATATTATAGCTTAGAGTATACAATAATATAATAAATAAATTGCGTCACAATAAAATTGATTGCTTTTAACAATTTGTATTGTTATAAATATAAAGTTTGTTTACCATAAAAGTTATTATGTTATTTGATTATATTATATTTTTATATTCGATCTAAAATTATAAATTTGAGGGTATTAATATAAATCATATATCCTTAAATGAATAGCTGATAAATTCTCTTCTTTATTTTTTAGATGAAGTAACTTTGAATGTCCCGCCTAATATTTTAACAAGTTTTAGCTCGTTAAAATACTTAAATTTTACTTGGTTATATTATACCCCGTTTAATTGTTTAAAAATATAAACTTTTGAATGAGACAATCTCGTTAAAGAAACAATCAATGAAATATTTATAAATCGATTCATTTTAATGCAAACTACAAAAAACTAATCTAAATTAAACGAAAATCAATTAAAAAAAACAACATTTTTTTATTGGATTCAAGCATTTAAGATGCTATTTTAATCTGAACTTATGTGCCCTTGTATAATTTAATATATTATGGAAGTGTTATATCACTTGTATAAATATATGAAAATACATTATATTACTCTTTTTTTCTTGTAATGTTAGTCTGTACTGTATTTAGACCGACGTCAATGAAGACAAGATCAAACATGTAATTAGATTAGATCTAGGACTCGTGTAGTTTATGAATATATAAACTATTTGTTATTGACTAATATATCTAAATTGTGAATTTGATAATTTCAATTTTATGTCTTTTCTTCATTGTTACTATATATTTTTATATTAAAATATAAAATAATTTGAAAAAATACTTGTCATCTATCATGATCATAACAACTCAAGTCAAATTGTTTCTTATAACAAAATACTTATAATTTTGTAAAAAAAAAAAAATTGTATGTGCAAACATTTCTCTACACATAAAAATTACAATAGTTATTATGTTCGAGAATACTTATTGTGACTATTATTTGAAATAAGTGAATTTAATTAATTTTATTTAAGGATAATGTTTTTTGAAAGAACAAAAATTTCTCCTCTTAAATTATTGTTGGTATAATACATCATTAATTCCTTTTTTTTTTTTTAATTTTTAACTAAACTCTTAAATTTAAAAAATGGATCTTGTATCTTTTGTAATTTTTTAATTTACTCCCTAAGAATAAGTTTTGTAATCATCCATTTTTGGCACTAACAGTAAGATATGAAATGTGATGTGTAATATTTTTTAAAATATTATTTAAATTTTAGAATATTTTATTTTTTTTCATTAATGCAACTTCTTTCTTCCTTGGTCTCAATTTTCTTTTATAGCACTATTAAATACTCTCATCCTTCTTCATAATTTTCAATGATTTAATTTTGTCTCTTTCATTTCCTTTGTCTCTTTCTCATCGTGATTAACCCCAAGTCTGCATTAATGTTTTAATATTTCGTCTTAAACTAATTTTATTCAATCGAAAATTAAATAAAATTTGACTAAAAATTATTTCCGAACAATTTGACCACCGATTCTCCACGTGTTTCTCTATTTGATGCCTTTCACCTTTCATTTCATCATTTGATTTGCATTTTCAACGTTTGGGAATTAAGAGATCGAGAGATTAGCTGTTGAGGAGATTAACCAATAAACATAAATAATGAAATGAAATAATAATGTAATAAGTGGTTGTTTAACTTTGAAGATATAAGAAATAATTTATCAAAATTCACATATTATAGACAAACTAAATTGCATAAATATAAAAATAAAATAGAATGAAAGACTTAATTATAAATTTTTTAGCTTATGACTTAATTAAAACTTTCTAAAAAATTTAGGGACTAATTGATGTATTAAATCTTATATTCTATATTTTTAGTTTTATATTCATTTTTTATTTTAAAAAATCATCTATATTTAAATCATACAATTATATTGTTCAAGAGTGTCCATATGAATTATCCTTTCAATAATAGTATTTTCTCAAACTATTTTACGACAAAAATATTTTTAACTTATTAGATTCGTTTGTTTTAACTTATTTTTCTATAGTAACATTTTTTTTAATAAAATAAACCTATTTTACTTTTGATGTTTTTTCTAATTGTTTTAATAGGAAAATTCCTACTTTTTTAAGAAACACTTAAAAAACACTTATTTATAAATATTTTTTTTAATTTAAAAAATAGACTTATTTTCTTTCACAAAGGAGTTTTTAAAACAATTTCTCACCCTCTCATCTCTTTTGTTTATTTATTTATTTATTTTATTAAATTTAAATAATTAACGTACTTCAATTGTAACAATAAATTATATTAATACTATATTTAAATCAATTCAACTTGCTTAAAAAGTAAAATTGGTCAATCCCCTAATGCCTCGACCCGAAAAACAATATATCTTTGGAATTGGGCTGATCCGAATTAATAAGTGCATGTTTACTCATCCACGTTTTTACGAATTTAAGGCGGAAATAAGAAATTATAATTTCTTATTTTTACGTTTTTTACATTATTTAAGTCGCATGAAACCAAACACGTACTAAATCTCCTGTTTAAAAAAAAAAAAAGTTGAGTTGACCTAACTCACATTCCCACTTTGACTTGTTGGAATGAATCGGGAAACAATATATATTTTATAATATGGATTTCCATGAAATCTAAAAATTAGATATAATTTTGATTCACGTCTGTACTTACATCATTAGTATCACCCAAGACTAGAGGCCCATCAGACAAACGGGATAAATATAACAATAAAATAAAATAATATAGATAAAATCAAAGCCAAATCTATATTTAAAATATAAAATATTAATTTTAGTTGAATTGTATATATTTTTAATATCATGGAATAACTTTTTTTAATACTATTTAAGACTACAATTTTCATATCAGAAGAGGATATGAAAATAATGTGAATGAAAAATAGTTTAGGGTGTTAATGAAAAATGAATGAATAAATAATGTGATTAAGTTTTGTAGGAATGCAGAAGAAGGTGAGGCAGAGGCAGGTTGAACTGGCGGTGGGACAGGAAATAAATAAATAGTGATGGTTCTCATTTTCCCAACGCTACCACTTAATTTTGAATTTGTTTCGATGAAAACAACGTGCTCTCTATAAAAGTAAAATTGTGATCGATCCAATTCCAAGGGATGGCACCGATGAATATGAAGCAATCTGCGAAATCGAGTAGAAGCAGCATAGCAGCAGCTTGCTCTCAGGAGATCCTGGTGCGTGAAACGCTGCGTATCAGTGCCAATTTAGCCTCCACGCCTCTCCTGGAAACCGCTCCCAGCTTGAGAATGATTTGCTGTGAGGAATTGGACGGTCGTCGATGGAAGTACGTGGCGGAGACCGATGCCCACGGCCAATTCAAGCCCGATTCATTCCGTCCTCTCTCCGTGCAAAACCCTCAACTTCAGGCCCCAATAGATGTATGTTATCTCTCTTATCCTACGTTTCCACTTTCTCATGCTCATGCTCATCAATCAATGCACTCTGCAGGAATTCCTTTCCTTCGTTAGATCCTATGTTGTTCCCGAAGGTTTCCCTCATAGCGTTACTCCTTCCTATGTCCCCTACATGACATGGAGGGCTCTTAAGGTATCTTTCCCCTTTTCCTCTGCCAAATCTTCCACTCTTCGCTCTTAACTCATCATTCTTTTCCTTCTAGCACTTTTTCGGTGGAGCAATGGGCGTTTTCACTACTCAAACCCTTTTGAGTTCAGTTGGCGTCTCTAGAAACAGGGCCACCCCTGCTGCTGTAGCCCTCAACTGGATTATCAAGGTAACGCTTTGACATTCTCTCTCTATGCCTCGCTTTTCATAAATAATAAATAATAAATAATAAATAATATATGTAGGATGGTTCTGGTCGTCTCGGCAAGATGTTCTTTTCTCGCCAAGGAAAGAAATTTGATTATGACCTAAAACAGGTATTCATATACTTCCTTCTTCTTCTGCTCAATTCCAGCTATCCCGCAATCTGCTCCTGAGTTTTTTTTTTTTTTTTTTTTTTTTTTTCA